TTAACGTATTTTGATACAGTTGCCCTTTGTTAGCTCTACGTACGTCTTAGCCGTCCCCCTTTTGTATAACAGATATGTTTAAGTGATGACTGTATTCTCGAAGGAATTTCCTTAGTGAAAGAAATGAAAGAAATGCTTTGCGGAAGAATTCTAGCTCCTGCTGGCGGTTGGACGCTCAACCTCCCCCAAAGAGCCCTACCCTCCCCCTTCCCCCCTCCCTCTCTGTGCAGCTGTTCCTTCCTCCTCTCTCCCTCCTCCCTTTCTCTCCTCCTGCTGCTTCTCCTGCCACGAAGAGGGGTCAGAGAGGTACGGTCCGACCCCGAGACTCACTCCCTGGTGCCTGCGGGCGTGTCGTTGCAGCAGTGAGTCGCAGCCATGTCCTCCGTGTGCCTGGTCGGAATGCACTTCGAGCGCCCCGGCGCCCCCAAGGTGTACAGCCGCAACTCCTCCATCTGGTCCGAGTACGAGGTGGCGCGGAAGGAGAAGTATGGCTCCGTCTCGCGATCCTCCATCTCCAGCGGCCTCATCGACGTCAAATACATCGATGAGAAGCCCATGAACGAGCGACTCAAAGGCCTGTCCGCCCTGCACATCTCCAAGGTCCGACGAATCATCTAAGGATCCTCGCGCCCGTTTCCTCTCCCTTTCTCCTTCTCTCCTTCTCTCTTCCTCTCTCTCCTTTTCTCTTCAATTCTTCCTCTTCTCCGCTCCTCCGACGTCTTCGTATCTTCGTCTCCTTCTTCTCTAATTCAGAACTCAACACGTCGGTGACGCACGTCCAGTAGGTGTTCCAAGACTGTGTGTGGCAATATAATCATCATCCTCTTTTTTTTTTATTTCTCTCATTCTCTTGTCTTCATATTCCATCGCAACACACACACTCAAATGGATAATTATGTTATTAAAAAAAAAATAAATAAAACTATTTAACAGACTTCCCCTCTCTCATTGCAACTCACCATCTGACAATCGCAACAAGGCAGGGATGTTGCAGCCCGGTCGCCAGGGGGCCGGGCGAGCGAGCGAGGGCGCGGGCACGGCTCAGGCCCGATGCCCACGCCGGGGGCTATTTCGGGGCCTGTCAAACATTCCCCAATAAGGCCTCGTCAGACATTATACTGTGGGTGTCAGTGTCTCTGGTCCATCTCGGAGAACATGGGGGGGGGGGAACACGAGAACACGAAAAGCGAGAGAAAGCACAAAAGAACACAAGAGTACACGAACATAAGAACCAAGAGACACTGTATACGCTCGCTCGCTCGGTCTTCCTGGGCCAGTGTTTCATAGGTGCCAAGTGTGTGGGTCTTAGTAGCAACCGCTCTTTCTTTCTCTCTCCTCTTTCCTCTCTTCTCTCTCTCTCTCTCTCTCTCTCTCTCTCTATATATCTATATATATATATATATATATATATATATATATATATATATATATATATGTATATATATATATATATATATATATATATATATATATATATATATATATATATGTATGTATATATATATATATATATATATATATATATATATATATATATATATATATATATATATATATATATATATATATATATATATATATATATATATATATATATATATATATATATATATATATATATATATATATATATATATATATATATATATATATATATATATATATATATATATATATATATATATATGATAGATAGATATAGATTTATAGATCTTCTATTGGTGTATATCTACATTTATCTATCTGTTGTCGTCTGTCTATCTATCTGTTTGTCGTCTGTCTATCTATCTTACTCTCTGTCGTTTTCTATCTACCTTTTTCTGTCTCTATTTCTTTATCTATCTTTCTATCTATCTGTCTGTCTGTCTGTGTCTGTCTATATATCTATCTTTCTAGCTTCTAGCTTCTCTTCTCTTTTCTTCTCTCTCTCTCTCTCTTCTCTTTTATTTTCTTCTCTCTCTCTCTCTCTCTCTCGCTCTTTCTCTCTCTCTCTCTCTTTCTCTTCTTCTTCTTTCTCTTCTCTTCTCTTCTCTTCTCTTCTCTTCTCTTCTCTTCTCTTCTCTCTCTCTCTTCTCTTCTCTCTTCTCTTCTCTTCTTCTCTTCTTCTTCTCCTCTCTTCTCTTTTCTCTCTCTCTCTCTCTCTCTCTCTTTCTCTTCTCTCTCTCTCTCTCTCTCTCTCTCTCTCTCTCTCTTCTCTCTCTCTCTCTCTCTCTCTCTCTCTCTCTCTCTCTCTCTCTCTCTCTCTCTCTCTCTCTCTCTCTCTGCTCTCTCTCTCCTCTCTCTCTGCCTCTCTCTCTGCCTCTCTCTCTCTCTCTCTCTATCTATCTATCTATCTGTTTATCTATCTATCTATCTATCTATCTATCTATCTATCTGTCTATCTTTCTCACACTTTCCTTTTCTTGTTTGTAGAATATCTGGTCTTTATTTTCTTTGATTCCTGGGGGTATATTGTTAAGAATGATAAATAAATAAAAAAATAAAAAAAAGATGATAATAAAGATAAGAATAGATAAAACTGCATCATCCCTTGCCCTTCTTTGATCACGTGTTCTAAAGAGAGATAAATAAACAAATAAATATATAAATACATCTCCGTGAACTTTATGCTGAAGCTTAGAGAAATATGCAGAAAAAAAACACGAATATTTATATTATAGTAAGGTCTGTGCAACATTCTTATCATATACTAAAGATGATTTTACAAGCTTTTTCTTTTTTTTATCGAATTATGGATATATATGATTCTGAAATAATGAATATATGCATATTTAAAGTGAAACATTTCGCTTATAAGTGATGTTCTGACCAAGTTTAATGTTTAACTAACACATAACACGGTCTTTTAACACATATCATTAACACCAGTGAATAAAACTGATGATCTATTACGATTTTGATTGGTTTTCTTACATCATTTTTCCCTGAATTGTCTGAAGAAAAAAATATGGTTAGTGTGATTATTATCAAAAGTTCGATATGACACTTTCTTCATCATCGTCATCATTATCATTCTTAGTACTATAAGTGTATCATAAAACGTATATATAACTATGTGTGTATATCTATGCATGCATCTTTAAAGATTCTTAAAAAAGCATTGATAAAATGGTTTACTATCTTGACATTTACCAAATATTATAGTAATACTAAGAAGAATCAGTGAACTTTTTCTATATATTTCAAATTCTTTCTTTTCATAAGTAAATTTCAAAACCCCTTTTCTATATATAATATCAGGCTTTCTGTGATTGGCCTTTTCTTTTCTTTTCTTTTTTTTATTCTACTTCTTTTCTTTCCGATTTTTTCACTTCTTTTCCGTTCATTATTTTCATATTGTTCTA